TTTACCTCTGCGCGCAGCGCATGACGGGGCTCCCACCCACTCTGGTGCGAGTTTACCTCTGCGTTCTCCAGCGCATCGAGTGATTGGCGTCCAGCAAGACGCCGAAAATCCTCTGCAGCAAAATGAAGGGCAACTTGCCCAAATGGCACCAAGGGGAAACGCTGCCCGTCGAGGCCGTCCTCCAGGTCGAGGCTTTAGAGGCCGTGTATCAACGATCAGATCTGATCGTGTGACGCGCTCAAGGGCCCAGGTTTCAGGGCTGCCTGCTAATGAACAGCCTGTAGTAGAGCGTAATGACGCTCTTAATGAAGAAAATCTAAGGCCATTGGCCCAAAGTGCACCAAGGTCTGGTCGAAGGGGTCGCCCTAGAGGACGACGTGGTGCCGCAGTAGCGCCTGAAAATGCTCGATCAGAGCATGAGGCGCCAATGCGTCCTCAATCTCGGGGCAGACCTCGCGGCAGGCCGCGTCGTACTGCAAACATTACTCAAAGTGGCAGAAGCAGTGCCTCAAATGTAAGTAGACACGAACGAGAACGTCGTCGGCAGTACGACGAAAATCGGTTTGAAAACATGTCTGTTGATGAACGAGAGCAAATTCGCTTTCAGAATACTCAACAACATCGAGTAGCTTACAGTTCATTGCCAGATGCTGACAGACAGGCTCGAATAAATCAAAATTCTCAACGTCAGCAAGAACATCAAAACTTAATGAATGATGCTGACCGGCAAGCACGCCGAGATCGCGATGCTCAACAGCATCGAAACGCATATCAGATACCTGAACGAGGGGCTGCAATTGCAGAGCAAAACCTTAACAGGTACCACCGCGGTCGAGCAACTCAAAGGCCTTCAATGGCAGCAATCCTTAATGCTGAAGGTCGACTGCGTTACGGCGTCCCTGAAGAAGACTACCTTGGTGGTCTTACTGTGCAGTGCAGCAACTGCGGTGCCATGCACTTTCCAGATGAAAAGTCTGGGAACAGCACTACTTTTTCTGATTGTTGTCAGAATGGTAAAATAAGAGATTGGTTTCAATTGGGACCAGTTCCAGAACAGTTACAAAAGCTGTTCACTGATGCTTTTAGTCAAAGTGCTAATGACTTTGACAAAGAACAAAGTCGGCATTTTTTAAAAAATTTGCGACATTACAACAACGCGCTTCAATGCGCCTCGATTTCGTACAGGTCTGTGAGTATTCCTGGACAAGGACCTTATGTCTTTAAAATTCAAGGCATTACTTACCATTACACCTTCAACATCAATCAGATTCGTGAAGGTGAATTAGGTCAACGGAATCAGCTGTACATTTTGGATACAGCCGATCAAACTGCCCATCGCCAATCAAATGCCCGGCAGTACAATCACAATCTCAGGCCAAACATTCTGAACGTTCTTAAACGTTGTCTCGATGAAGCAAACGAGACTTATGAAAACTTGAGAAGAATGTTCGAAATGGCTAATGTTGAAGAGGTGGCCGTTGCATTTGCACCTGTTCAGCCAGGTCGACCCAATGCTGATCGCGAGCGCTTGCCAGAAACGCGCGAGATTTTTGGTTTGGTTAATCAAGTCGACGACGACACTGAACGAGGTATCACCATCACTTTCAA